CTAAGATGTTAGAATGTATATGGGGACATGATTTAGTTCAACCACTTTGACATTTAATAACTAACTCCTGTTTTGTTTTCTAAAACCGTGTTTTAGTATTTCTGAATACTAAAACACGGTTTTAGAAAACAAATCAACTACAAATTATTGGTTATAGAAATGGCGAATTCCATCAAGAAAAGAAAAATAATGTATACAGTTCAACAAATGGATACTACATACATCGCAAGGATACAAGTTGCCCGAAACGTGTAGAAGTACCTGTACAAACTGAATAAAGATGGAAAAAAGCCAAGTGTTTAATTAATAACACAATCTTGTGTTCAACTATACATATTTTTAATACTAAAGTTAAATTAATATTTAACTTTATTTCCTTATTATTTACTTTATTTCCTATATATTTAACTTTTTATATTTAACTTTATTTAAAGTTAAATATTAATTTAACTTTATTTCCTTAAAATATTTCAATTTCGTATTTTATATTAAATCCTGAAGATTATTTTTAAATTATTTAAATATAATATATATCGGTATAATAAAAAATAAACAAAAACTTAAAAAATAATTGTTAACTTATTTTTTAAACTTTTTAAATTGATAATTTACATAATTGATATATAGGCTACTTGCAGTTATATCAGAGATTTTTGGGCTGCAATTTGAAAAAATTGTAGACCTATAAATTTCCACTATCGTCCGTCCGTCCGATTGTCTTTCCTTAATTTCGAAAGTCAAGTTAGATTGATGAAAGAGGAGACCAGATATGGAAACTCTAAGGCAGGAGGCCCCTTACAGTTAACTACATGAGAATGACTGATTTGAACAGAAAGTAATGTTATTTTAATTCAAAAATTTCCCTTGAAAGCTGTTAATAGATGAACGGCACGACACTATTGTTAAAGAATAAGTATGATGTACAGGGACAAGCCACTACTAATTTGAAGTGGAGAGCATATATTTTAAATTAAATTAATTAAAAATATGATAAGTTTTTAACAATTGCGTCGTTCCGATCATCTATCTAATTCCTTTCGGGAGAAAATTTTTGAATTGAAATAATGTGACTTCCGATTTGAATTAGAAGTTTGTATATAGTTAATCGGGGCCTGCTACTCCTAAGGTTTCCATATCTGATCTCGTCTTTTATCTATAAAACTTCATTCTGGATATTAAGAAAAAACAGACGAACGGACGACAATAGGAATTTACAGGTCTACAATTATTACAAATTGCAGCCCAATAAGAATACATCTTAGCCTTATACATATGTAGAACCAAAAACTTCGCAATATTATATATAATTTGACAAGTCTTGAAACTATTAAAGAATAAAAATTAATGTATAGTTAACCCCGTTACTTGAGGGTTAAGAAACTTTTGTATCGTAACCTCCAGGTAATTGCAGAAATTACTTCTTATAAAAGTTTATCAATTGTGTAGTTATTTTTAAAAAATAACTACACAATTTAATTGCGACGAAAATACTTAAATTATAAAATTTCTATTTATTTGTTAAATGACTTTAATTTTAAATTGTTTGTGAGAAATTTATGTTATGGCAATCAAGATGATTGTCAGTATATCAATTATTATTGATTAAATGTTAGAACAATAACGTATAACTTTATTCATGATTGCTTTAAAAATTTGTTATTCCACTTATAACAAAAATGTATTCTTACTTCAATAAATACGGAACGAATGAATAAAATTGATTAATTTATCTGTTTAATTTTTAATTTTAAACATTTGAATTTAAAAAGGAAAATAAGAAATTTATTTTTAAATTTATAAAATTAAAAGTTATTTTCTTATTAAGTATATATAAAAAATAAAATTATTATTAATTACTGATTAATTATTATTTTAATATTTTAGATATATTTAAATTAAAATAATGTCAGATATTGAAGAAATAATCTTATTTACGATATAAATTATTTTATATTTTATTAAACAACACGTTTTCAGTTTTTTAAATTATTATAAATAATCTTAGTAGCCATCCAGAATTTATCATTTTATTCGCTGTTTTCATTACTTTTTTTTTGTACCTTTTTCTGTATGCTCCAAATTAAATTCATGAGCTGTTTTCTATTTAACGTTACTTATTTTGATAAAGTGCCACGTTCATTCTCGTTATAGGTAATAGAATTTTTACTAGAAAACCTTTGCACTCATTAGAATACAAAATGTCAGACAGTTCTTGCTAGAAAACACTACAGGTAGCAGTAAATCTCCTGTAAACCTGATATAGCGTGATACTGTCTAAACTAATGTAGAGTATAAATTTTTCTGGCTTAGATTATAAATGAGTATCAATTTTTCTATTCCAGTTATTCATCATATACGTTGAAAGAAGAGTACAGCAACGAAATGACCTTAATATAGTTAATTGATTCGATTAGGGGTGGAAAATGTATACACAAGTTATTTATTACACGTTTATGGACAAGTTTGTTAAAAGATTGAATTTATTTTATATTAAATAAGTAAAATTAATCATAAGTTTTTGTTTCTTTATATCATATTTACTCTAATTTTCATCGAATGCAATAAAAGAACTCCAGGATGAAATGTCCTTTATCCCCGAAGTTCCTGAATTTATTATAACATATTTTCATTTTTAAGAAATTTGTTTGTAATCTGTTAATAAAGGGAACATCAGAAAAAAATTTATTCTGATGTTCCCTTTATTGCATTCAATGAGGAAACTTCATGCTTCGGGAACCTAATGTTGCATTTGATGAAGGAACTTTATTCTTTAGGAGTTCATTCGATAAAGCAATATTTTGACTTTTATTATAAATTAAATTAAAATTCTTCGTATTCTTATGTAGTTTAAATGTAAAACTTATTATTTTTTAGATAAAAATTTATCATATTAACATCGCAAACTTTAATGTACTGTACAATAATATTAGAAAGTAATTTACGATGATGCTAAGTAAACATATAATCAATGACAAAAAATGTCACGTAGATTTAAATATTGTTTACTTAAATTCCCATTGGTGCAATCAAATGAAGGAACTTTTGTCCATTAATGATTATCTCATTATAACTGGCGCCATTCGATGATGGCGCCGAGTTTCCGACTAGTAGATGTACTGTACTTTAATACTTGGATGTAATATCTCAAACTTTGTTAATTTCCTTAAAGTCATCAAGCTCTAGAAAATAAAAATAAAAAAGGAATTCTTAGAAAAGTCTTTTTTTTTTCTTAATCTNAATGTAATTATATTTTGCTATAAAAAAAGCAATTTTGTGGTTTTATTAAAGAAAAAATTCTTAAAAAATTAGTCAAAAATCGTTTAAAGTAATAATATTAAATGCGAAAAATGCATAAATCATTGTCAGATGAGAATTAAATTTCTGTAAAAATCTTTCAAATGAATCGCTATTGACCACTAATTAAGAGTTGTCAACTAAATTGGATATTTCAGATGCAGCTTTGATTAAATTAGATTAATTGATTTAGTTTTCAGCATAATTTGTTAAGATGGAAATTGTTTCGCTAATGCAAAGTATAGATTATCCATATTAATTTTAAATTAAAAAACAACTTAATTGATGTTAAACTAAGTTTAATTATCTCGTTTTAAATAAATGTACCGAATAGTCCAAAAGTCAATTAACCTTGTAAAGACTAAATTGTTGTGTTTTTCAAATACTTAAATACTTAATCATGTTTACTCAGTTTTCTAAAAGAAAAACTATTTCTATTTTGTTTAAAATAGAAATAGAAATCATTTTGAATTTCATATTTTCTCATATGCATCTGAATACAGTTTGTTGACTTTTGAACCATCCTATATGTTTATTGACAATAGATATATAACATTGATAAATTCAAGTAAGTCAGTAAATATGCAGAGTGGCCCAAATGTCAGTTTAACATTGACTATATAATTATATCTGAATACAAAGAAACAAAACACAATTAACTGACTTCTGAACCAACGTACTGTACATAAATATGGGGTTTACCTTTTGTATATTTATTGAAAATGTTATAAATCTATTCTCAAGAAATATAACCGGCCAAAAAGTCAGTTAACTTTTTTTGAATACGTATATTTGTTCTTGTATATGAAACGTCTCTGTAATCCAAAAACTTGTTCATGTACAAGAACCAATAGACAGCAACCATATTATAGTGTGAACGTGTATTTGTCAATATTGATAAACTAACTTTTGAATTTTCCTATTTATTTATTGACAATGGGTTTATGAATCTTATTAAGTCCATCATCAATAAATATAGGCTACAAGTTGGCACAATTGATTTATATTTTCGAAATGAATTTAATTACTTTTTATCTATATTTTCTATACCGTAAGTAATTTAATTCAAAATATCATTTTTTATAAATGAAAAACAAGCTAAAAATAAATTACATAAATAATTCATCACATAAAAAATTGTTTTTTGTATTTATTTTTATTTAGTTCTAAATGAATGTAATGATTTAATAAATGCAGATAATTACACTTCGTGATATTAGTTACTTCAAAAAAGTAAAAATATAGATATAATTTCTGAATTATATAAGTTATGTACATTATGATATAACTGGCACTTGGTATTTCATACTTTTACGTATCTCAGAAGTCTCAAATATATTTGTATTTTGTGTTTGTTGATATTTTGTCTTGTCCAGTGTTTAGAACCTAAGATTAGTACTGTACTAGGTTGATACTTGATGTACAGTACAAGGTACAGCAACAAGTATAGCATAAAATCTTGCATTGAATACACTTACATAAACAGGCCTCAAAGTCCACGTTTAGTTAGATTTCAAAACTTTTATTCTACATATTGAATACTAATCAATTATTATATTAAACTTCCAATCTTGAGTATTACTGGGTTCAATTGATTTGTATCAATTATTGATCTCTTCATATTTTTACATATTTTGAGAATTTTCTTGATTTTGTGTGTAAGGTTTATATTGTCTTAATAGCATATTTAATTATAAAATACTATTCAAAATCAAGTTAAACTTTAAATGTCATTAAAATTATCTTTACTTTTTGCCTTATTATATACCCAATATGAAGAATTCAAGTTTCCGATTATAGAATTTACCTATCGGTTCTATGTATTATATTCCAGTTATGATTAAATGATGTGTCAAGAATATTCAACGCATCATTTAATTATAATTAGATGTTATTTACACGATAAATTAAAATTATTGAAAATGTTCTCTAAGCATTATAATTTAAATCTATTAAATTATCAATTTGATTTAGTTTTCTTAAAAAGTTAAGGTTTTAAATATAAATAATTTATTTGAAAATGAAAAGAAAACTTAATGGAAATAGGATTAAAGGAAACCATCATTTTCTAGAGTCCTGTTGAAGATTTAATGATGCAATCAAATACTTTGTTTTATATGGAGAAAGGGAATTCCGGATCAATTTTGTCTTGTTAGAAGTGCAATTATTTCTGTCTAACGATGTGAAGCAGAGCTTTATGATAATAAAACTGTCAATATTCATGGTAAAACTGCCATAGCTTGTGTTGATCTAAATTTAAAGCACTATTAATAAATAGACATTTTATATACTTTTATATTTATATAATGTTTGATTCCTTGTTTCGAATTACTATACAATCTTTTATCAGAAAATATATATATATATATATATTTTTCTTTGCGTGAGCTACTATATCTGTCTTTGGGCTCGCTCATTTCTTCTCAACTTTTTTCTTTCCGTTCTTTATTAAAAGAAGACTGATCATTTCTATAGTAGACTGTAATTTCGTTGACGAATCAGGCGAGTGTCACAACGGGTTGGCCGAGTTATGGCTGTTCATTTTCAATACTTTTCTGAAATATTTTTATTCTTTTTGTAATTGACATTGATTTTGACTAGTGATTCAATTATTTCTCGTAGTTCCTCTTCGGTACAAACATCTGCTACGTCATTAGGTAAACATGATGTCTTCGGCCTAACTTTTAAGGGTGAACCAAATATGGCTTCATAAGGATTANCAATAGTACATTTCAGCCTATATTTAAGAATTAACAGTATATTTTCATAAATAATATACAGTAGCCCAAAAATCAGCTAACCATTGTAAAGCTAAATTGTTATCTTGTACGAATATTTTATGATGGAAATCTAACAGAAATAAATACATATTCTGACTAGTTCAAAAGTTTGTTAACCATTGTAAAGACTACATTTCTGCAATATTCAAATACTAAAAACTATAGTAATTGTAGAGTAATTCGTATATAAAACAAGAAGAATCAGATTTTGAACAATTTTTGTAATATTTGTAATAAAATATTTTAACAAGTTAGTAATTTAATTTATACCACAGTTAACTGACTTTTGGGCTAGCTTCTATATAAATGAGATTTAGATTTCTACCATAAAGTATCTGAATAAGACAGTAATTTAGTTTTTCAGAATAGTTAACTGACTTTTGGTCAACTCTGTATTTTAAAATCCACATTTATAAAATTATTGTGATTTTTCTTAATACTTATAATAAGTATTATGTTTTGGTGTTGTTTAATACTTTGATAAAGTGCAAATGCATTTTCTTAAAGTAGGAATGCATTATCAATACTACTAAGGAATTTTAGAATGAAATTAATTTCTTTATTCAGATTATTCAAAAATAATAATAATAAATTGAAAAATATTTTTGCATGTTATATATAAAATATATTGAAAAATTCCAATTTCTTATATTTTTATTTAGTTTTTTATGTGCAGAAATATTTCAAATATTCGTTATATGATACGAAAGATTTTTCGAAACCTATTGAAAATATTTGTAAAAATTCGCTCTGCAGATAAAAATAACGGATTGGAATATAATTTCTAGTTTCTGTAAATCAAAATTTTTCAGATTATAGTTGTATGAATTAAGAAAATTTTCTCGATAGCAAAATTATGAGAAATTTTTACTTTACTTGTTGAAAGTTTAGGTCTATCACATGAATGCTTAGCTTCAAAGACGAAAAAGAATTAATTTTGTATTAAGCATAATTGTAATTTATAAACGAAAGATACTTAATTTATTTAATTAAGTCAATAGTTTATTAATTCTATGATTTAATATAATTACATATGAATAAAAGATGCATCATCAGCGATATTTTTGTTTTTCAGGTTAGATAAATGCATTTAATTTGATTTAAAATAACTTTATGTTATCTTAAATCAAATTAAATGTATTTATCTAACCTGAAAAATAAAAATATCTAAATGTATTTAAATTTAAATTTTTTAACTTTTTAAATATTTAAATTTAAATTATCTAAATGTATTTAAATTAAATCATATCAGATAACTTTGTGTTTAATTTTTAATAGTTTAAAAATTTTCAAATGATGATTATTAATTTTTCGCGATAAAAATATTGTATATAAAATTCTCATAATTTTGTTAGTGTTATACATATATATTAATTTTATTA